GAAACTATGCTGTCTAGTGCTATCTTTTCGACTTGAAATTATACCAACAAGTCTAACTGAGCCTATATCATCGTATCTGATGCATGCTTTAATGTGATAATAATAATAACCGATTACTCATACTGATGGATGCATGATGAGAGTAGCAATGGCAAATTTCTTCCCCCTGTGGATACGCTGCAAGTTTGTTCCATGTTTCAAACTTATTCGCTGGGGGTGCCACAGCCTTTAACGTTTCAGTCACTAATGACGGTATTAACATGTGAGTGTCTCTGCCGCGGTGGAGGGGCCGGGGTCTCCGGATCATCCGCATTTCCGTTGGGATTCGGTCGATCCCTCTACTTTTGTAGTCACGAATGCGTCCGTTCTCCTGTGCACCAATGTATTGCTTTTATCATCACAACACTTGATATAAAACTCCACGAGAGCAATTTCGCTGCATATTATAAATAGGTTCTCACACATAAGAAAGCCCTAGGTGTTTAGTACTTGGTCTTGTAGGCCGGCGCAGGGGCATAAGAGCGAGCAGGCTTGTACGCCGGGGCAGGGGCATACGAGCGAGCAGGCTTGTAGGCCGGGGCCGGGGCATAAGAGCGAGCGGGTTTGTAGGCCGGGGCCGGGTGGTAGCTGGGCTTGTGCTCCTCGTAGTGGGGCTCGCCAGTGTACGTCACCTCAGCGTTGTAGCCTCCGTAGCCGTCGTGATCAGCGACGTACTTGACGTGCTGGGTACGGCCATAGGGCAGGTTGACCGAGTAGTAGCCGTTGACATTCTTGGCGTCGCTGTTCTCGTTCTGGGAGAAGACGGCACCAGAGTAGTGGTCGTTGACAGCGTAATCAAACTGGTAGGGCGTGTCGTAGTGGTCCGGCTCCTTGTAGGACGACTGGTGGTAGCTCGGGACATGAGAGTGCGCCGGCTGCGGGGCGTAGCTGTTGGCGGGAGCGGCGGCGGCCATAGCCAGAAGGGCGGCGGCGATGAATACCTGCAGAAAAAAAATTACAATACGTTACTTCTTTCCTTTTTTCATTCATATTTTACTTGAAGGTTTTCGCCAGCAGTACAGTTGTGCCATGCCACTGCCTTTCAAATGAGAGTTGTTGGTTAATTCCTCGCATACTTACAATGTGCAGTGAACGAGAGATATTACTAGTCACGAGACAGAAAACGTGGCCTTGCCCGTATGCCGTTGTATGTTGAGTATTTCTCACATTCTGTGTTACATTGCATTGTGATATCTGATTGTTGATATTTCACCGTCAAAAAACTGAATAAGTTGGCTTGATCAACGTTTTGTATTGCAAATGCTGCGGTTAGTTTTTCAAGGCTTTTAGCATATTAAAACCCCTGACATGATGCAAATGTGTCGCATGTACCCGCGTAGCTCATCACGAGTTCGTGCATGCCTCCCATTGTTTTGTACGGCATAATTCTGAAACAAATGACGCCGGCGAGCTATGTCCTGTAGCATGCTTAAATGGGACCAGAAGGATCTGCTGTGAAAAATTGGTTGATGCTGTCATGTTATACTTGGTTGCCGATTTTCTATCAAAATGACACTATTGCAGTCGTTAGCATCTTATGTTAGTCGTCATTCGCACCACTCGGACTGATAGTGTGTGATGACGTCCGCATGGTGATGTGTCTGCGTGTTGCATCATTTATCTGCATCACACTTCAGGTGATGTTGGCCTCACAGTATGTCACCTATGGTCAAAAATGGTTCTTTATCATGAGATTACGATCTATATTATGAAAACTCCGAGGATCGAAAGGTCACATGGTTTTGTGAATCACAGTTGAAGTATTAATTGTGCACCCTCACCTGAGGTAGGAATTTAAAACTATTTGATGATGCTTAGGCCGTACTGTGATTCGTGCGGGGGACTTGATTTTGAAGGTTTTTCAGTTGGGAGAATATTTTGAACTGTTATCTCCGTCTGGTGCAGTAGCACGCACACAACGTTCCGACCACTTGACTCTCCGGCTGTCGTCCGGTGTTATGGAGTCCTGAGTAAAACTGGATGATGCTTGGCTGTAAGCCATTATGAGTCACGGCCAACTTCCCACATGGAGTTAATAATATTTTGCTTTCGAATCAGATGAAGAAATTTCCGTTCCCAAAAACTACGTCGGGCTGTGACCTATACCTTACGGATGGTCAACCATCATCCAGTCCTGAAGGCTCTCAAGTATCTGACGATGGCTGGAAGGTAAAAAGGAGCATTCAACATTTACATGGAGTTTTAAACTTAAAATAGCAATCTTTAAGACCTTTCGGTACTGTTCGCAACCGTGCCCTTCTTAAAGTCTAAGCCCTTCTAGTTTCTGAGCTACATGCCCCCGATGTTGGGGAAAGGTATATCCCGGAGAACATTCTAAAGGGACATCGACATCCATAACGTCATAATCACGTCATAATACCGTTATACAAGTCTTCCGATTCCATAAGTCATGCGGTGATCAGGATGAAGAACAAATTGGTTGTCGATCCGTTCATATCTGGCGTTTGTGTGCGCGATTTTCAGATATGATGGCTTCAATTTGCTCTCTATCAATATTGTTCGAGATACGATGGCGTAATAAATGCATGACGCACTGAGGAGCACATTTACTGAACGGAGAATTATGCTGTCGAGAGCAGCCCCACCTAAGAAGCATAGAAATAGTTATAAGTGAACTGATTTTATCATATCTGATACCTGGTTATCATCTTCAACTGTGAAACAAGCCATTAAATATCCGATGCGTGTTGTTATACTGAAGCACTACGAGAACAATAGTTGGACTAAATTTTTGATGCGTATTAGTTAGCACCTGGTCTCAATCGTGGCGTAAAATTGTTACCAATTTTGCTTCTTTGTAGGTCTGAAAAACATTCCGTTTTCATAGAGTGTGATGAAGTAAGTTTTGGTCACGCTACGTGACCAAAACTTCTCTCTTTGATGAGAACTCTCTTGAGCCGCATTTTCATGAACACCCGTTGAGATGTTGTTTTGATGTGAGGTCACAGTGAGAGTTCTCTCGCTCTCGCTCTTTCGCAAGCTGTCTCGCTTGCGTTGTCCTGTCTGATTACAATTTGTTGTGATTCAAGACTTCAAAGTTTAATAATGATTTGAAACTCATATTACCGATAACTGTCTCAAATTTGTTCGTGATTGTATTTTGTTGCGAATGACTCTGATCCTGATGCACGAAACAGGGATATATTTATGAGTTGAAACACCTTGGCTCGAATTTCGTATCCGAGAATTTGATCGGAACTAAGAAGTTGCGTTGGAACGTAATGAAGTACCAGTACCAGTACTTGCCTTTGTACACCCCCGCAATAAAAGTGCTAGTATTTCTCTCAGTTTGCTAGCATTCCTTTGTCGTTTTGAAACATAAATGTAAAGGTAGAGGCATGCATCAATATTAATAGGCATCAATATATCAGGCATCAATATATCATATTTTATTGGAAGTCAGTAGGCTGAAGAACACCAAAACCATGCTCTCTCTCTCAGAAGAACAAACCTCGCACGGACACTCCCAATCACATGAATACCAATACAAGGCACTGGCACACACCAGAAGTGATCATACGCATTTCGAGCCCCCGATTCACACTCTTTTGTCAAATATGTGTGATCTCACATTCGCACAGCTCGCAGGACTATCAAATTGCAGGTTTTGTCACTATATCCGCACAAATCTTCAGTCACAACACCGGGCTTCACCGTGACCTCACATCGAAACAACATCTCAACGGGTGTTCATGAAAATGCGGCTCAAGAGCTTCTTCTTGTGCAACACAACTTGCTGAAGATCCAAATTTGTGGTACCATATGTGTTAAGTACTTAGATAAATAAATATGTATATATATATGTATATATTTATATATACATGCATATAAATATATGTATATACATATATATATATATATATATATATATATATATAATAACTGTATGCCTCCCTAATTTCATAATGTCTTGCTAGCCCATAAAACGGTGCAAGGTTCTGTGCTCCGGTACACAAGGCGCTTAACGAGCTGTCTGTAGGAGATAAGTTAGCAGAATAAGAAAACAATCACCAGCAGGAGAAAAAAGACAGATTTGCCGTCGCGTCTTCTTTTTTATAGCTTCGGGAGAGTGCCCATTTTTGGGTCGCCGTACTTTTTTGCAGACAGTGGCGTTTTTTATAGCATTGATCTATGGCTTAGAACTATGGAGAAATGACCCGTTCACGACGATTGTCGCACAACCGAAATTGCTCACGCTTGTGTTCGTGACACGCATTCAGCAGTAAAATGTTACTGACAGCCAATCATCTTCCGCGCTCCGTACCACATGTGGTGCATCATCGTCTTTGCGAATGTATCAGCGGCTATGCTGTTTTGACCATAAACTTAACACAACCTCTAATATCATGGCGATCTCATGACGTTTCTATGGCGTCATTTATCAGAAGGTGATTTTGAAGTTGGCTGTAAATAAGCCTTTTCGTACTTTGCAGGCGTGTAACTCAGGAAGCAGAGCGTTTTGTGTCTTAAAAGGGCATATCCGTGAACTGCATCAAAATGTCCTCACGCTGGCTAGCTCAGTTCAAAATGCCATAAAAATGTGGAACATTCCGAAATTTCTAAGGCCACCTGTTTTTGGACAACGTGCCGGTGGGCGGAAAAACTACTGCCATTCGCAACATAAGCTTGAAATCACTCGTCAGGTATTTTCGTTATCGCGTTTCACATCTAGGCACATATTCTCGTAAACGTCACTGTTGAGCCTGGCATACACCTACCACTTATCAGCAGTAAGTCAAAGGTGAGAAGCACATGTCAACAGGATTTCCGTGGGCATTTCCATTCGGTCCATCATTCCGCTTTTGGAGTCACGAATATGTCCGTTTTCTTGTACACCAATGTATTACTTTCATCATAACAACACTTGACACAAGACTCTCCAAAAACATCGTGGTCTCACCTTATAAACTGGTTCTCACACACTAGAAAACACTAGGTGTTTAGTACATGGTCTTGTAGGCCGGCGCAGGGGCATGCGAGCGATCAGGCTTGTAGGCTGGGGCCGGGGCATAGGAACCAGCAGGCTTGTAGGCCGGGACCGGGTGGTAGCTAGGCTTGTGCTCCTCATAGCGGGGCTCCCCAGTGTAGGTCATCTCGGCGATGTAGCCTCCGTAATCGTCGTGGTCAGCGACGTACGTGACATGCTGGGTACGGCCGTCTGGCAGGTTGACCGAGTAGTAGCCGTTGATATTCTTGGTGTCGCTGTTCTCGTTCTGGGAGAACACGGCACCGGAGTCTATCTGTAGTAATAGTCATTAGTTTGTACGTCGCTTCAAAAGTCTCCATTCAGAATGTTTAAAATGCGAGCATATTTAGAGGGCACTGAAATCCCTCACCACGGATTATTACTCCATCCCTTCCACTGTTTCATGAGCATGATTTTTGAATCTAATGAAACTAATCATTTAATGCTTTCATTGTTTTGAAATAGGAATCGAGAGGATCCATTGATGAAAATAAGTTGATGTGCCTGCGCCTTATTTATGGCTTAGTTTATATGACGACAGCATCATTATATTCGTTGTCATCGCAATGAAAGGTTCTTTGGCAACAACATTTTTCCCTTTTGTCTTTTCGTCATTCATCGGACTGCCAAAGATCACATTTTCTTTTCTGCGCAGACTTCCTAGTTCAGTTTTGTCAGGTCTCGATGAGTGGTGTTCCATTGATTGCTTCAATTTCTTTGCAATGTCGGGATTTTGGCCTTCGATATTTGTCCTTTTGAATTGATGAACTTGAACTTGATGAAATTGAATTTGATTGATGAACAGCAGCCCACCTCCAATGTCCCAGCTGAAAAGGTTGATTAAATTTAAGATTTGGTGTGTATTTTAAAAGCAGACAGAACACTTTGCCGTGAGTTAAATTCGCGAGTGGGTTCTTCAAAATTCTACACGGTACATGGATACAAAATCAAGTTTTCCTCTTGTACAATGGAGTGAATAACCTGTAACCTTGACCGAAATCGATCAGTGACCACCCGCTCCCCTATCCCCCTCTCCCACCGACTTGCGTTCGTCTCTGTGCTGTGATGTGGTTGTCACCAGTTCCGGAAGTCTTACATTTTATATTGTGTTGAAGAACGTGTAAATCCATGGTGATGCTGTAATTAGAACCAGAAATAAACGCTGCACATAGCGCTAACCGATTTCTTGCGGTTTAGTCGTACGCCGAAGCTGATGAAGCATACCAAAGAAATGATATCAATGACTCGGCAGCATCACTTACACACCAAAGGAATGATATCAGTGACTCGACAGTATCACTTACGCACCAAAGGAATGGCATCAATGACTCGTGAGCATCATTTAAAGCATTCTTTTTTACGTATCCCACTAGCTGCTTACCATGACAAACTCAGTGATTGTCCAGCGTTGAAATCTTGTCCTCTAGATTTACAACGCTGTTGTAGTGGTTTTAAGCGTTCTTAAAGCCTCAAGGAAACTAGTCTTGCTACAGCTGCAAATGATGGATCTCTTATGTCACCAGCGATATCACAGGCTCAAAAGAGATGGGTGGGCTGTTTTGCCAAAGCAGCGAGCTTATCTTTACAAAACCTAAATACCACAGTCGTTTCTTCTCATCCTTGGGAACTTATTCTTCTTCTGATACCTTTGATATCTCTGATTATTCAAAGCGCAAAAAATACAAGTCATGCATTTGATCGGCAATATGGCTCATCTTTTCACCGCTTCTAATGATTGGCTGAGTGCTTCATCGACGTTTTAGCAATGATCCCGTTTCAGAACTAGACACAAGCTTACGCATCCAATGCAGTTTCGCGCGTGCATACATTTTAGATGGCCAGGTCTAATCCAAAGATGGGGGACGCCTGGGAAAAGGTCTTCTGCAGACATGTCGTCGTTTCCTCTCGTGTTTGAAGCAAAACTACGCTCCCTTTATGGTACAGTAATTTATTGGCGGTCATCACGACATAAATGCCAAATTTCGCACGAACAGACTTTCATTATAAATATTTGTTCACACCAGAGCACTAGGTATTCAGTACTTGGTCTTGTAGGCCGGCGCAGGGGCATACGAGCGAGCAGGCTTGTACCCCGGGGCGGGGGCATACGAGCGAGCAGGCTTGTACGCCGGGGCGGGGGCATACGAGCGAGCAGGCTTGTATGCCGGGGCCGGAGCATAAGAGCGAGCGGGCTTGTAGGCTGGGGCCGGGTGGTAGCTAGGCTTGTGCTCCTCATAGCGGGGCTCTCCAGTGTAGGTCACCTCGGCGTTGTAGCCTCCGTAACCGTGCTGGTCAGCGATGTACTTGACGTGCTGGGTACGGCCATCGGGCAGGTTGACCGAGTAGTAGCCGTTGACATTCTTGGTGTCACTGTTCTCGTTCTGAGAGAAGACGGCACCGGAGTAGTGGTCGTTGACGGCATAGTCAAACTGGTAGGGCGTGTCGTAGTTGGCTGGCTCCTTGTAGGACGACTGGTGGTAGCTCGGGTCATGAGAGTACGCCGGCTGCGGGGCGTAGCTGTTGGCAGGAGCGGCGGAGGCAACAGCCAGCAGAGCGGCAGCGATGAACACCTGTGGAAGTAAAAATGCTGTCATTTCCTACAAGTCCATCTTGTTACATCTGTGGTTCTCTTCTAGCTGGTTCTGAGATATGAAGTGGTATTGTACCACTAACCAAAAGAAAGCTGATCATTGGGGTTGGAGCATGCAGATTTGCACGAGCGTGCTGGTACTTGCCTTCATGTTTGTAGCGTTGGTCTTGCCGACTGATGCTGTGAACGGCGAACGGCCTGGTTTTATACGGGCTCACGTTCTTGACCTTGACAAAGAGGCTGGTGCGGCCCGTAGTGAATTGACCGTGCAGGACAGCGATGCATGTTCGGGACTTCCGTTGAATTTAGTAGCAATTGACATGAGGTGGCAGGAAGGTGGTCAGTTAAAGCCTTCATACTGTTAGTTACTTGAGTTGCGCTGGAACAATGCGACACGTGAGCGTTGCAGCGCGGCTGCCTGTTCTTGATCACACAAACGGTCGGAGCGTGAACGGCACTTCAATTGGACGACACACAGTATAGTATAACTGCGAACAATTTTAAAAGTTGTAGATCAGCGCGGCTTACCAATAACGCACTAGGACTTGATGAAAATATGCAATGATATCACGAAACTATTCTATTCCTTCTAGCGGAAGCAGTTCTGTGGAACGAGACGTGCATCGGAGAGCCAAATTATTGTATTGTTTTGGGACATGGGTCAATTTATTTCAAGTCAACCAGGCACACTCGTGCTTACTTCACCTCATGGGCCCGAGGTTGGCCTTTCATCTCATTGTCTGAAAAACATGGTACAATCTATATTCTTTGAACAGTCATGCAGTTATAGGCCAATTTTTGCCGTTCATCTTAGAAAACATGTGAGCGATCTCTTCTAGATCGGTTGCACATCCAGTTTAAGCATTGGCAGATCACGCACAGCGGTGCGCCACGTCAGGTCACCGGGCGTGGTCGGCTCACTCCGTCGGCTAATGTGACAGTGATCTTGAAGAGATGTATTTCAATATAAATCAGGTCACTTAGATAGTCTTCCGAAGGATGCAAACAATGTCTGAATGGCGAATGCGTATCTGTCGTCCTTCACAAGTCTTGCATAGTTGGAAACGTCGTGCGCTTTTCCACCATCACAGCACACCCATAGCCGTTATATCAAGTTGATCTAAAGTTGCATTGCTATATTTTCCAATGCCACATTGGGAGCCGGAGGAAAGTCGCCTCGGTTGCCGACAGTACGCATATAATTCAACGCCGGCTCCGCGTAAGCAAGACCGGGGGCAAATAGAGCGTCATTTTATGATAGAGCTTTATTCCCAGGAGATCGGGAAAATAAAGACGCACAGTTTTGCTCTTTTTAACAAGTGGTTCCAGCGAATGCCCAATGAAAGGAAACTATTATAATTAGGCGAAGATCTCGAATGGAGAATGTATGGAAGACCACGCCTCGGAACTTAAGATATAATTCGATTTTGTGATTTCAGCATATTTCCACATATTCGACCCCACGTCGTTTGTGAGTTTTGCATTTGTATCATTGAACGCCAAGGATATTTTTTTGTCTAGTTGATGTCAGCACACATGCAGCATTAACAGCATGCATGCAGTATTGGACGAGAGTGCTGGTGCTTACCGTCATGTTCGCAGTGTTGGTCTTGTCAACCGGTGCTGTAAACTGCGAAAAGTCCACCTCATACATACCCGCTGTCTTGACCTTGACTTGGAGGCTGGGCGCGGCTCCATGAGTGAATAAAGGTCAGTGCTGGAAGTGAAACATGTGCGGTGGCTAGCTTGTTGTCAACGGTAATACAGGTGAGATAACATTTTTGCATACCCTATTATTTGATTTGACTACGAAAGACCGTAACCTCCTGATCATTCATGTCCAGTGCTCATGATTATCTTAGATGGGCGTTGCACCCAGTCGTCCGTGAGTATACGACTAGATACAGCCACCTTTAATTCGGACGGGCTTCGGTGCAGCGGGCGAGCCCTCAACGACCCAATCTTTGCGGCGAGAAGTAAGTACGAACACAGCCGCAGTAATCATTAGATTACTCACCATGATTCTGTGCCAAAAAATTGGGATCGGTGGGTGCCTGTAGGGAAATGTGAAACACTTGAATAGGTCAGCTTGGTAAAACATTAATTGTGAAAGACTCTCTTTGTGTGCTTGGCGATTCAAACATGTTCAGTACACGTGTAAGACATTGACATTTTTCACTCATGTATAAAGAACAGTGACATAGCGTTATGTAAACAGCTTGCAGTCGCAAATGCGTAGTACGAATGGTAGGTGTACAATGCGACGTGTCCGATTAGCGACGTGTCAGCCATTGTTTCTAGCATCTTACAGCAAACGCTTCTCCTCTTAGTATCTTGTCTATTGACCGCGTAAATGATTGGGTTGTGTGTGTGCGTGTGTGTGTGTGTGTGTGTGTGTGTGTGTGTGTGTGTGTGTGTGTGTGTGTGTGTGTGTGTGTGTGTGTGTGTGTGTGTGTGTGTGTGTGTGTGTGCCGTGTCTGTTGAACTCGTGATTGATTATTGTGCGTTAGGTCTGCCACAGTTTTTTGTGGTGTTTGGTGAGCTCACATATTGTAGTAAGATTTTCCCGTTGGTAATACGGTGAAGAGATCGCCGCTCGGGGCTGTTATGTCGTTTTGATCTTGGCCGTGCGGGGTGACCCACATTCGCGCTGTCCTGTCCGCTATGACCGACACCGGGCGCGGGGTTAACGTTATGCCCGGCCGCGTGTGGCGGCATTCTTCCGTCGCTCGCGGTTTCCGTGATGTTGTTTGGAATACCGACAGGAAATTGCGTGTTTTGGTGACATGGCAATGACAAAAACATCATGTTGACATGATCATCCGATTCGTTCCCTGTCCATTAATGTTCTTATAGTGAGAAATCTTGATTTTGACTTCCTGGAACGTACGCCCTCCAAGGTGAAGCATGCCGTTGAATGATAGCGCGGAATTAACTCTTGTCAACATTAAGTCATGGGACTTATTACGGTGTTCAGCTGTAGCACGCGAGTCATGCGATACTAGTTAAGGAGATGCATTGTTTTTTACGCGTGACATATTGATTTCATAAAATAATCTTGGAAGGAAAACACATTTCACGCTGCAAACAGAAATCACTTGGGGAAATGAATGGGATGCGGCCGGTCACATTCAACTATGGAACAGCGCATCAGGTGGGCGTGACACAATTGCTTCCTAGACGATTCGGTGGGTCAGTTCAAGGTCGGGTTGGCAACGGGGAGGGGCGACTGGCTGGCGACCGACTCAATATTGATTGAGATGATTTTGCTGCTTTAGGTGTGCATGCACCAGTGGTTGATATTCAACCGCAAATAACTGCACCCTTGTGTGGGGTGCAGGATGCTATTGTGCACTGTGGTCAATTAACACAATTCTGTGTGGGAACTGCCATATTCGCTTGAAGCCGAACGCTACGGAGACGGTATGGACTTATGTTTGGAGCGCAAGCATATGCCTCTCTGGCATCATCAGTGAGTTTTGTCTTAAAGATATATGGAGGCAGTTATACCCCTCTAAATAGGAATAAACGTGGCGGCGATCAGGCCAACCACAGCAAACGCGTACAGGTGATGTATCTGTTAGCGAGACACTTTGCTGTAGCGTTGACGTACAGGCGATTCCTAAATTACTAAAACATTACGATTACGATTTTCCGATACGATGCGACGATACGATTACGATACGATACGATTTTAGACGATTACTAAACAAATCATGGTGGTGAAGTATTACGAGAAAATAAAGCTACCCCAGAGATATTGCACGAAATATTACAAGGAGATATTCACGTCAAAAGGTCCAGCTGAAGGGACAATGGTTATACTTTTTTGGAGTGATCAAGCTGCAAAGCTCACCGCACGGGAACATGGGCAATGTGACGGTCTGATTGGGGGCGAAGAATGCAAATTAGCGTTGAGTAGAAAGAACAAAGTTAACGCTCCGGCATCACCTGATTTACAACGGAATCATCGCTCACTATTGTAATTATCTCAAAAGCATCGTAGCCGTGTACATCAACGACGTTTTTGTTCACGTTTTCTTTAGCCCAGCGTCGGGGCATCGTAGCTCTGGTTCCCAGGAAAGAAGACCAGGCCGGATGACAAAACAGGAGGTCTCGATGTTTACGAAATTTAAGTTATATAATTGTTGCAAAGGTTATTGCTACTCGCATTGGCTGTCATCCATAAATGGGTGTCTCCAGATAAAACTGGATTGGCGAATGTTTATTTATTGGTGAAAACATAAGGTTAACGGCACATACCGTTAAGTATTGGGATAACGATTAGACTGGAGGATTGATGACTCCTTGCGATATCTGGCTTCGCTCGATTCATTGGAATACCATTGTTATATCTGTTCATGGGCGTACAATTTTGAGGACAATTCAGTGCCGTGGATAAAGTTCTCAGCAGTAATGCCCTTTCGGCAGTAGTGCACAGCTGGTTTACATCAAACTGATTTTAGTGTGGTCGCGTCACGTTCTGGGAATCTCATATGAGGGAAATGTTGTTCGACTTGACAACATAAATTTTAGAGATCAATATAGAAATTAACATAAGCATTTTTGGCACCAGAATGAATAGTGTAGAGGGAATTATATGCTTCTTTTCTGACGAGATAACATTATTCTGCCAGTCAATCAAACAACTGCAGCAATCGGCAGAGACAGTACTGCGCGCCAAGAACGAGCTCAGCAAATATTTTTGGTTGAGCCTAAACTTCAACAAGAGTCGGGTGATGTCGGGTGCTCAGAAGGACAGTAACTGGTCCGTTTCAGGAATACAGACCGCAAAGATAAGTGGAATGAGAAGGTTCAGAATTAAGTGATGCGATTCATAATGCGAGACTAGCCACGTAAAGTTGCTAAACGAATACTGACCCAGGATATGGAGCATGGTGGGATGAAAGGATGAGACGTTCAGAGA